TTTCATGATTGTTTTTTTTTTCTTGATTTGAAAAAGCTCAGTTGATTTTATGTGAATGCATGGTATTTTTGAAATCTACAATAAGATATTAGAACAACAAAAATATCTGTTTAACAAAATGCACTCTTTATTTTGCATTTTGAATCAAAAATAGCAAATAACATTTCAAAAGAAATGTTTCTTATTTCTTTGGACTCATTTCAAAGTCTGGTTTGGAAAACTATTAATACATTTGTTATTCCTAACTTCAAAATAATTTTATTGGTGGTGGGAGCTCTAATTTTCTTTCTTCCCACTGTTCTTCTCTTTTGAGTAGTTTCTGTTTGAATCAAAAGTAAAAATTGATGGAACAGCTCATTTGTTTGTGCTTATTAGTGCTACTTAATTCATGTTTCATATGAATTAAGATATATGGGGTTATTTCTCAGTAACAGCAGCTAAAGTGCAGCCAGTTGTAATAGTTATACAATCATGGATCATGGATTTGGAGCTGACGAATCTATGGGATGCTATGAATAATGACCAATATCTCTGAAAAATGTCTGAGACACCTTGATAAATCTAAACAACAAGGAATCAAACAAAAGGGGATTCGCTGGCAAGGTGTACCCAACAAAGTGGCCAGTGAGTGCTGCCGAACATGTCCTTCAAGATCACTCACAAGGTCTTGGACTGAACACAAATTGTACACATTGTGAAACCGTGATGGTGGGAGGGAGCTCCAGCTGCAAGCACCAAAGCAGAGCAATATTCAAGAGTGAAAGAGAGCGTGATTCTGACTGAAGACGACAGTGAACACAGTGTCAAAACGTTAGGCAAAGTAAGAAAAAAAAAATCAAACCTTTCTCTTGTCTCAAGGAATGCAGTTGTAGATGTAGGACCTTATTAAATTAGAAAGGAAAACAAAATACTTTTTGTTCCTGAAAGGACATCTGTCAATTTAAGTGCTTCGAGGAGAAGCTCCGCCTAGACGCAGTTGTAACCACATTAGAATTCTGTTCTTGTTCTGAAACTCTTGGTCCAACTCTGATGGGGGAGCAATGACCCTGGGTGCATTCAACTCAGCTCAGACAGAGACACAGCAGCACTCAAAAGAGACTATTGAGAAGAAAATAAAGGAAAAAAAAAAAAAAAAAGACGACATCTGGTTTAATCACTAATCATTTTCAGAAACCTCCAGACACCTAAAACATAGCTAAATTACCCAAAAGGACAAGTAAACAAACATCTGAACGAGGATAAAACTTTGTAAACTAAAGCTTTGCAAGCCATTTAGAGAAACACACAAGAAGGCTTATCCTCTGCCAGAGACCATTTCTGCTCCTGCTGCACGTGTCCAAAACAGATAAAAACAGCATAACACTGTATATCACAAACAGATGTTTAGGGCCCAGCCTCTCCTACAAATATTTGGGGAAAGAACAGAAAAGGACATGCCTGGCTCTTCTGCTTTATTTCTGCAGCTTATTCTGCCATTCAAGAAAAGAATATAATGCAATTACGTACATGATGTTTTTTTTATTATTATTATTATCATTACTGCAAAATCATGCAAGCAGAGACAGATTTATTTATTTTTTTTATTGTCTTTTTCGTTCTTGGATTCCTCGTCGTCTCCATCATTACTGGGCGTCACTGAGCCTTTTTAAATACGGCTGGCAGACCATCAGAGCATGCAATGAGCATGATGGATGCATGACCTTGTTTGTTCAGAACGTTTCTTTTTACTGCAAGACACTCTCCATAAACTCCATAAACGTAACTGGGTAAAGATAGGAGTCAAATCAGGACTTTCTCCTTTTTGCTTGTTTAACGATATGTTGGTAAAAGTGTTTTTGTTTTTTGTTTTTCCTTTTTCACTTTAATGTGATCGTAACAGTTTGGTTTTTTTTAAGTACTAAAAAAACTGTTAGTACAGGAGGGGTGGGGGGAGGAATATGGAGCCACCTCAGCTTAAATTAAAGTCTTGTTTGGAAGTTTATCCAAGCTGATATGAAATGGTCCTTGAAACATATTTTTTTTTCCTCCAGTAATATCCAACATCCTGTTGTAAATCCCACAAATATGACCTGAAATGGCCTGCCTCCGTGTCGCAGGGTCAGGGGATCCATCGCCATGCCTTTGGCATCGAGATTACTTCGTTTTCAAGTCAGTAGAACCTGAAGGATAATGGAACTGGAAGCGTACAGTAAAGGCTTCTTTTTCCATTTTGTCAGTAAATCCAGTTTAAAGGCAAAGCCTAAATCCCATTCCATGCTGCCAGTAGCACCAAGACTCTCCACCTGGAAGTTTTGACTTTGTGTGTGGATTAACTGAATGAACAGTATTTACTATGTACGGCAGGGTATTAGAGCCCTGCTAAGAAAAAATAATAATAAAAAATGAAATTATGAGAATAAAGTATTTTTATTCTCATAATACTGTGACTGTTCTTGATTTGATTTCATTGTTGCACAAATTTATTCTGATAATATTATAACTTTTAACTCGTGTTGTAACTTTGCCTTACAAATGAACAAATAACATATGTAATATGGCCTAATTGGTCAAGCAGTCAAGAGGCCCATGAGTTACAGACAACTATTAGCCACATTCTGAAGAAATCTGGTCTTTGTGGAGTGGGAATATGTTTGCCATAATCTTTCCATAAGCTGTGTAGTGAACCCTGAGAACACATGGCAGAAGGTGCTTTGGTGCACTATAAGCAATGTTACATTTTTAGCTAAAAGTCTTTATGTCTTTTTAACACCACGCAGTCATGCACTCACAAATCTGGATTTTGTGGACGAGTGGTACAAATAGGGCAACTTTTGAAAGAATTTAAAAATGCATTGAACCCATAATATATAATTGTCTTTTGGTATTCATACGTTATCAGATGCCCTATTGCTTGTGCAGTGGGGCAGAGATAAAATTAAACTTGCCCCCAGAAAGGATTAGCTTAAGATGATATTCATTGTATATTTTTTGCTGAGCTTTTCTTAGCTATAAAACACTATTGCTGCTCCATTTAAATGATTCCCAGTGTTTGCCTTAGCTAGTTGTGCTAATAGCTATCAGCTGAGGTTTATTTTTCATACTCCCTTTGGCCTGTGTTGGACTGAATTTTAGTTTATCCTTTTGTGGAGGTGAGGCCAAATAGTAAGACTTTGTTACCATAATAAATTAATTCCACATGAGACGGTTGATTGAGAGAGCGTTCAGCATCTGAAAAGACAATAATTTTCCATGGCGACATGTTATATTTTTATTGTACTGTGTCCAAAATTCAGCACAGAAGCAATAAAAAGCATTGGAAAAGCCAGATGTAAAACTAAATGTGCATTTGAAAGAAGCTCTCCACAACGTTTTCTTTGGGCCGTAATCTTCCAGGTCCCCGTCAGTCACTTTAGACTGATACAGCACAGACCAAGCTGCAGAAAGTTTGACTAATGATGGTAAATTCCAAGGAAATTAAAGTTGGTCGGAGGCGTTCATTGGCACTGAACCTATAAACCAGACCTTCGAAAAGTAAAATATTCAAATGTCATTCAGTCAGTTCGTTTCTCTTCAGATGGCATTGATTTAAGTGAGAGAGAATATCGCCCTGAGGATGTGTAACTATTAGACAGGAGAACTGCATTTCCTGTTTTATTGCAGCATGGACATTAAACTGAACTTGTGAAGTTCAAAAGCTTCAAGTTAACTTTTCCCAGTTGAACCTGGGAGAATCTGAAAAGTGCCAAACGAACAGAGCAGCTTACTGACATCTGACTTTCTTTCAAAGGATTGAAAATGAAACAGGATATTCTTTTTTAGTTTCTGAAAGGAATGGTCTGCCCTCTGGTGGATATAGTCATACTTCCAGTACTATTTAATGTTTTTTGAATTTGGAGTATGATACCATATTCAAGTTAAAGTCATGCTAAATATTTATATGTAATCACAATAATAATAAATTTTATTTATAATGGCCTTTTATATCAAATTGAGATTCTGACCACCACCAGCAGGACACAAATGATAAAGATGATATAGAGGAGTTTTATGTAATTTGTTTTTTTTGTTCTTTTATGATTATTTGAACTAACAAACAACTTTGAGTTTTAAAAACTGGAATTTAATTCAAAATTTGAATCTAGGCCTGCACCAATTACAGTTTTTATGGCGGACAGCTGACCTGACAAAACAAGTTCCAGATGCTTATGTGCATTAAAGCGCTGTTTTCTACATTTTCATTTGCTTTTTTCATGTTGATCAAAATGTATTACATGGGTCTCTTGAATAGTCTGAACCTCCACAACATTTAAGCACAAGTTTGCCTCATAAGTCTTTATGTGAAAAATGGTTGAACAAGTTGTCAAAATGTGTTTCTAAACATTTCCATTGGACTTTTTTTCTAAATCTGTCCTAATTTGGTTCATCGCTCCCAGGTGAATCCAACGTAGGTAGATGTCTGAAGCATTAAATCAACCAATGGTCAACCAGTTTTCTGAAATAACTTAAACCATCAACTGGCCAAGTTTATAGCGTATATAGCCAAAGCACAGCAGGATGTTGCACTTTCTTAATTTTCAGCTTCTGTTTGAGAAACAGAAACTTATGATGAGTTCTGTTTAAGTGATTCTTGATTCAACAGGTTTGCTGTGGTAGCTAGTGAACTTAAACTGAAGAATGCTGAATATATGTTTTATTTTGTTTAAATTGCCCGTAGGTATGTCAAGGGCTAGCAACCTCTCCAGGATGCACTCTGGCTTAGATGACTCAAAATAGACAGTGAATATAAGTATTTATTAGACGTCTCACACTCTCAGCTGTTCTTTTATTGTAGTGGCATGTAGGTTACAGAAGAGGGCGCTGTTGTCTTAGTAATCGGCTGTGTTTGGCTGCTTTCATCAGCGTTCACACAAATTTCTGACTGGAATACCAAACTGAGACTTACATAGATTTTTAGTTCTTTTTTAATGTTGTTTGTATTGATCAAACCAATAAAGACAGAAGAGATGAAACCTTATGTTCCATATTTGAAATTCACAATTTAATTTTATATGTCTGGACACAAAACGGAGAAGTGAAGATCTCCCAGCATCACTTACAGTCTATCATTCTTCCTCTCTCGCACACAATCACACAAAAACGCCACACTTGCTTGTGCTGTTATTTTCTATCTTTGATTCATCTCTGCTCTTATAACTTAAAAATAATTTACATTAAAATACTTTGATGTTCTTTTCATGGGCACTTAAAAGAGATAAACCCCAAAATGGGGCTCTGCGTTCTTCCTTCTTCTTGTTGAAAGAAGTTCGTTCAGAGTTCGAAATTGTTTTCCCAACGGAAGGACTCTTTTTGCAGCACTTTTGCCAGTTTCTCATTAAATGGTTTGTAGAAGTCCTGCAGGATTTCCTTAGTTATAGGCAGCATGGGTCCCAGGTTCTTGTCAGCTGGTCTCCTGGTGTTTGATGCTGGGCTTCTTGTGATTTGTGACTCTATTTCTTTTGACAATGGCCCTGTAAAACACACAAATAACTCTGTCACTTCACTTCTTCCTGCAAGCAGTAATAAAGGACTGCCACTTGACTGTAAGAAATGACCACTCAGAGAAAAAAAAAACGTATTAAACACGCAAAGCTCCTTGCAAAAGTATTAATATCATTTAAGGTTGTTCCCATTTTGTAAGGTTTCATTTGGATTTAATATAATAGACAAACACAGAATAACTCAAAAAAAAAAAATTCATTTAAGGCGGAAAAGGAAACATTGTTTTAAATTAACCAAATAAGTCAATATCGTCTTTCACCACAACTACAAGTTTTTGAAGGTATGTCTCTCCTATGATAGTTTTACCCCCTTCTTTTTTTCTTTTATTTTTTATTTTTTGCAAATGCTAAAGCTCAGACAGAGAGTGCCTGTGAACGTGAATTTTAAGAGCACTGTCCAAAATCATTAAGTCCTACTTACCAAGATTAAGAAAATCAAAGACTTTATGCAATGTGTCTTTCATGTCGAAGGCATGGTCTTCCAGTCTCAGGACCAGAATCTGTTCTCTGCTGAAGACAGCCAGCCAGTCAATTAGGTACACAACGTAAAGGCCGACTTGCAGTCTCACCTGTTGGGAACAAAACAAGAGAAGCAACCTTAGATCATCCGGTTCTGTTTGGGATAGTGCTTTCTCTGTAGGGGAACATGGTGGTGCATGTAACCTCTTCTTTAAGAGAAGAAGGAAAATATTTTTGAAGCTTTCTTCGCTCCTCCATGTGAATCCAGTGTATGATCATGGGAGTAAGTGCACATGTTTATTTTGGGGAGATGTGAGCGATAATGTTGTGGATGGGTTGTAATTTTACAAACACAAACAAAACATTGGCAAGAGACTCAAAAATCCACTCCCGCAGGTTGCCTGTTATTATTATTGTGTGATTAGTAGTAACTAATAAATGTTAGAATATTTTAAGAAATAATGATATTTTTGAATGTTTGCACTCACATAATGAAATAGACCTTTAAAACTTATTTTAGGGTATTTTTGTCTGTGTGTTTCTTTAACTTACTAAGCAATTTAAAGTAGATCTTAGTGATTCCATAAATAGCCTAATTTCTTATGGAACATATCTACAACTCCTAATAATTTTATTCACAGCTTTTAGGTAAAGTATTGAATACTTTCTACCATTGATTCAAGCCTATTCCTTACTGAAACATGTCAACAATTCAATAATATTACTCTTTTGCACAAAAGAGTAATATTTTGTGCAAAAGAGTTTATCCTTCAGATTGATTTTGAGAAGACCAACTTACTTTTTCTTATAGTCTGCGAGAATGTTTGATGTATGAACCCCGTTTTAGATTAGCACGACCAGGTCACTGATTACATCTAAAACCAGTAATTTGACTTCCCAAAACGTCCTTCTCACTTTAGTTTTAGGCTACCTTAGGTCTCTTGCTGACATTTGTCTTTTTTATTAATCTGACACTACAGCGCAAACAGCTGGGAGTTCTTTTCAACATGCATTAATAACTCTGATATCAATGGACAGACTTTGAGAACAGCTGCAGAGAGCAGCCACTGCCCTCACGGGGTCACCAAGCTTGTTGGAGGCAGCTGGAGAGCAGGACCTCTAAATACCAGACAGTTTCTGCGTGGAGCCAAAAAAGGACAGACGAGACTCCTTCTCCTCCTCCAACCCAGTCAGCTCCAGAGTACTGTGGGAAAAGCTGGCCAGGATCCTAATACGAGGGCTCCGAACTGGCTGACTCTAAAGATTTAGTCTGATGGTCTGAAGGAAGTTCATAGCTTTGCCGAACTAAGTTCTGTTGCAGCTAGAGAGGCTACACTTTCTTTTATGAAGGTCCTTTAACATGTGCTAATGAAGTGCGAATTGCCCTCCTTCTTTCCTTCTTCGAGCCTTTGCTACTTGTCTTTTCCCACCATCTTATAAACTGGTGGCTAAATTTCACTTTAAAGGAGGTCTGCCAGACAAAAGGAGGAAGGAGGGTCCACTCACTGGCATTGCGTTGTTGACTGTGGTGTTGTACACACAGGAGCGCATTGTGTATTCCATAAGGCACCCCTCGAATAGCTGCAGGGACTCTGACACCTTCTCATGGAAATCCTCCGCAGACTTATTGGCAATTCCAAAGTAAAGGTAGTCAGAGTAAAGCCTAGAAGAAAACAGAGAGGCACTGTTAACATTTCCTTTTCAGGTTTGTGAAATTCCCAGCTAAAGGCAAATGGATTTCAATTGAATGTATTTTATTTATGGGCATTAAAGAGTAATCTTTCTTTTTGCTCCACGTTCTTAGAAGGCTGCAAGCAATGCAAGAGTGTGAGAATCCTAGCAAGAAATGCCTCCAGAGTATTTTTCCGTAATAAAAAAAAAAAAAGCTACTTTGTTAAAAACTGAACTGGTGACCAGAATCAACATTTTTTTTCAAAAATTCAAAAATCATTCACTCATTAAAACTTAACAGGTTGTATTTTTCTTATTTTATTTATTTTATTATTATTATTATTATTATTATTATTATTATTATTATTGTTTGCAGC